TTCATAAAAACTCTTCTACGTTCTCCCCTTTATTATTAGCATCAATTCCTTTATTATATATATTTTTTGGGCGTGCAGGTTTTATCACTTGCTTTTGTCCTTGCGTTACGTTCGGACAGACTTCTGAGATAGTGAATAGAGGTTACAAATGTAAGCCTTCAACTTTGATTTTACATGACTTTTTATGTTAATTAAGTAATTTGTGATTATATGATTTTTTATGTTCAATAATTAATTTGTAATGGTGTAAACTACATAATTATAGGCAGCCTAACATTGAAAAGGTTATTGGACTCAAATGAACAGAAATTAAGTGACTGAGTCACCAATCAAATATTTATCTCTCTCTCTTAATTGATCTAGTGCATCTTAAAGTTTTATTCGGTTTATTTGATAAATGATATTTAATAATGAATATTGAATAATTAGTATATCCTATATATAAAAATACTTTTTTAAACATTTTAATTAGCTGTTTAAGGAAGAACAATCGTAGACTAAGAATTACTTTTATTTTTATTTTATTTTTACTTTTGAATGTGGAGGAAAATGCGTTTTTGAATTTTGGAATATTGAGAGATATAATCTTTGGTTTGTTTTTGAATTTTGCCGACTGAAATGGGTTATTTTACTTTGAAGCTTGTGCCTCAAGGGGTTTGTTGTATGGGGTGTTGGCATTGACTGGGTTTGCCTGCTTTTACTCGTGTTTTTACCGCTCCAAACTGAGGGCTCAATACGACTTACCGGAGGAACCATGTGCAGATTGCCTGGTGCACTTCTGCTGCCCTGGATGTGCTCTATGTCAAGAGTACAGAGAGCTCAGGAATCGCGGATTCGACATGAGTATAGGTATAGTATAATTTCCACAACAGCTGGGTTTTCTTTTCCTTATTCAACGGACCTTTCTTTTCATATATACAAGCTTACAACAATTAAGTAAAAAATAAAATAAAATAAAAAATTAAAAAACCATAAGTGACAGTAGAACTTGCAAGATGGAGATTCAACTCACAAAATCTTATAGTTGGTAGTACTTGAAATGCAAATATTGATTTTTAGGTAAAGTGCACTTTAGTCCTGTGCTTTCAAAAAAAAAAAAAACAGAATGGTACTTTACAATTTTAATTGTATTAGATTATATAATTAAAATTATTAGATGAAAATTTAGCTCTTCAATATTGAAATTTAGCTCATATTTACTGATTTTTATTTTGAAATATAAACTGTGAAATAGTAACTCAAAATATAGGTGCCTTTGTATCTCTAATATGCAAGCCACCCCCATTTTACTACTTTTAAGGGCATGTTTAGTTGAGAGAAAAAAATTTTCTTGAAAACTTTCCTTTCTATGTTAATTTATACATTTTTACACATTAATACTATAATAAAAAAATAAGTAAAATTTTTTTTATATTTTTTAATGAAAAAAAAAATTCAACTTTTCTTATATGAACTTTACTTTACAACTTTTCTAAAAATTTTTCCTATATTAATTTTTTATCAAATACAAAAAATTAAT